CCGAAGTGTCTGATATACCGGCAAATGTGGCTATCACCGACTCAGCCGGGACTCGTTTGTTGTCGACTGTTCTGTAGCACCGGGATATAACTATCGCATCAGTCGCGGAAAGCTTCTCGAGTCTCTTTTCTGGGCTTAAGCTAGTATCTATGCCGCGAACAACCCCCTTGGTGCATGCAAGGTGTGGCGGAATGAAAGCATTCACTTTCATCGATGCAAATGTCGAGTATTTCAGAAGATCATGCACACAAGCTTGGTCAGGTGATACACAAATTATCCCTCCTTTGCAAACTGCCGAACATCAGTAATATTGAGCTAGTGGCGCGTGGCCGACTGGAGCTCAGCTTGTACCGCTTTCGTGTTGGTAAGCCGAATGGATGCTCCATGCAGGGGCACTAGAGCTACAACAATACTTTTTACATCACTGCGAAAGAACGCTTCAAGTGGCATTTTATCAGGTGAAAGAGAGGCCGACCAAGGCGGAGACCGCCCCAGGCCACCTCCTGGAGAATTTGTCAACATCAGGTCAGCTAGCAAAATAAACTGTAAATGGTTTCACAACCTCTCATATTTAGATTCGCCCTACCCTTGGACAAAACCCCCTAGTGTTCCCTCAGTTTTCGCAGAAGGCCGCTCGCCAGGACGTGACAGTCCACGTCGTCAACCTCTTTCAGTGGCTAAAAAGGGGCACGTGCATTTCTAACACTTTGTACTAGTCGGTGACTTCAACGTAGACATTATGAACCTTACACCCCTGTCACATGGGTCAGAGAGTTTTTCCATAATTCTTAATAAACTGTTTGAACAATCCCTTGAAACAGGTTGTATTCCCAATGATTGGAAAGTTGGGAGGGTGATTCCTCTGCACAACTCTGGAAATAAACATTGCCCTGACATCTTTCGTCCCATTTCTCTCACTAGTATACCTTGTAAAATCATGGAGCACGTCATATATTTTCATCTCGTCTCTTTATAAGAATTGAATTCTTTTTTCACTATAGCCCAGCACGGATTCCCTAAGTCATTTTCATGCGAAACCCAACTCATATGTTTCACGCATGAACTTCATTGCATCCTCGATCATGGATCTCAGGCAGACTGTATATATTTCGATTTTTCGAAAGACTTTGACAAAGTCTCGCATGAACTTCTATTTCTTAAACTACGTAATCTTAACATTGACCCTAATATACTTGAATGGTTGATCTGTTTTATTTCAAACCGCTCACAATTCGTAACAGCAAACAACTTTGACTCACATCCTTTACCTGTCCGTTTTGGTGTACCTCAGGGGCGGGCCCCTTCTGTTTATAATCTATATAAATGACTTACCGACTAATATTTCTTCGTCAAGTATTCTTTTTGCAGATGATTGTGTTATTTATCGCGAAATTAACGATAATAACGATGTCTCTTGCCTTCAATCTGTCATTCACAAGGTCATGGACTGGTGCAACACTTGGAACATGAAACTAAACATTAATAAGTGTAAGCACATGCACATTTCTCGAAATTCTAGCCCAGCTTCCACTTACCACATTAACAATGTCTTTCTTGAAGCTGTGCTCTCTTATAAGTACCTAGGTGTTCACATTTCTTCTGACCTGTCTTGGAAAACTCATATTCATTATATGATATATAACGCCGACCGCATGATTGGGTATATTCGCAGGAACTTATCTCATTCATCCAGTTCAATAAAACTATTACTTTATAAAACACTGGCTCGCTAAAAATTAGAGTATTCTGCATTTGTCTGGAGTCCTGTCATTGAATCGCTCATTTCCGATTTGGAAGCTGTGCAGAACCGTGCCTGTCGTTTCATACTCTCCAACTATCACCGAACAAGCAGCGTAACCACCATGAAATTAAGTTTGTCCCTCCCTCCTATTTCTCATCGAAGGTCAGTAGCTTCATTATGTCTTTTTCGCAAAATTTATTACAACAGCTATCTGAAACAGAAATTATTAACAAGGCCATGATACGTATCAGCTCGCATTGATCACCGCAATAAAGTTCCATCACGTCACACTAAATGTTTTCATGACTCATTCATACCCAGAACTTGTGTCAGTTGGAATGATCTTCCCCGTGATATCGCTTATATAACTGATAATAATATGTTTCGTAAACTATTGATCTTCATTAAACGTTTGTGTGTATATATATGTTTGTATATATGTATACATATATGTGTGTATATATAAGCTTATTATTGTTAGTATACCTTTTTCCTTATCGAATTGTTGTCATTTATGCCTACTTTATTTCACTTACTTATCTGCTGTGAGTTTTTTTTTTCTTGCTGTTTTACATTGCTTCCGTTATGTATATCTCCACTCCCCTCTGTAATGCCCTCGGGTCCTGAGGGTACAATAAAAAATAAATAAATAAATCAACAATCATTTTTATGGTACCTGCTTTTTTAGCGCGAAGAAAATGTAACTCGTCAGTGAGTCTGATGCCGAAACGGTGAAGTGGAAAACGCCGCGAAACATTTGTAATCGAAGGTGTTCTATCTGCAGCGAATATGAAGCCGCGCGCTCACATCGTGCAAAGCTGAGGAGAGGCCCTCGCAACGCGATCTGCAGAGCGAAATGTGTGGCCGAAGTCACGTGCTTTTCTGTGTGGCCACGCCATCCTCTTGTCTACATCAGCGCTTGTACGACCGCGTTGTTCAGAGCCGGCTAGAGTTCCAAATCTGCATTTTTACGCAGCTGTTGCACTTGAAAGATATAGTACGATGTGCTAGAAGCCTACAGGTAGCGTTGGTATTCACGGTCGCGAGTTTATTTTATATAGCGGTCGAAAGCGGTCGTTTTCGAAGCTCGCTTCAATGACTTGCGCCGTAGCTTCGCTCCTTTCCTTCTGCTGTTGTCAGCGATGGAAGGCGAGAATTCTAGAAGCCTACGGCTCTTAATGCGGGAGGCACCGGTTCCCATGTGCGGCGGTCACAGCTATTGGAAAGCAGTGCGTGCTCACTGAAGCTTGCCGAGTCAAGAACTACAGACGTGGCTGACACAGTATGGCGATTTCGTGTTTGGAAAATTGCATCCTGTTTACATTTTTCGCACGATAACCTCACCTTTGGCCGAGTTTTCTTTCGATACGGTCACAGTCAGCCGACTCGATACTTGTGCGCACGTATCGTGACACACGCGGGTTAGGAAGCGCTTCATCTGGATAAACAGCAAAGCCAAGTTAACACATCGCTGTTGCATTATGATCCACACTCCGAACTTACCGTCTTTGTCGAAGAAGACAGCTTGTCCGGGGCGCTCATCCGTCCGATTCGCGCCGTTGTGTATTCAGTGGATTAAACACGAAGTGCAAAGCTGCAGGTTTATTGTAGATGCACAATATGAGCCGTGATAAGGCTGGCCCACAGGCGCTATACAAGCCAGTATCGCAGCACGTTTGCTCGTAATCAGCACAAAAGTTTCGCTTTTCCAGCTCGCCTATCAGATCGACATCGCGCGGATCGCCGGCGCCAGTTGCGCATGCGCGAACCACCGACCACCATTGCGAGTCCTCCACTCTTCCCCACTTCTGGCTTCACAAAATGTGACCCAATGGCCAATTATACTCTGGCGCTGCGATCACTCAGCGACCTTGGCACTTGCGGGCCACACTTGTGGCTTCGTTCATGTGTGGGTTTTGTTTCGAATAAAAGAACAAACTGTTTTGAACTTGGTGACCCGATTCGATATGGTGAACCTAAAATATTAAGGCGGTGAAGCAAAACTGATAAACTGTTTCTGATCGTTGTTTCATGAAATAAAAGCTTCAAACCATACAAAGCCAAACGGAACGTGAAGTATACGAACATCCATGTACTACCCATTCTTGCCACGCTCGCCGAAGCTCCCGCCAGCGTTAACTCCTCAGCATTGCATGGCTGGTATGCTGCAGTGAGCACGCGAGTTGTCTACTGAGCATGCGTGCTCTCCGCGCGCATACGTGGCGACAGCAGCGCCACTTTTCCCCATGCGTTTACGTCAGCAAGCAATTCAGCGGCACGCACGAAAGACGACGTTCAGCAAAGTGAGCGACTCCATATTCTATAATCCAGCTTCTTCGATATCAGTGCACGTTTAAGAACACCAGATTTCTGGAGCCCTCCGCTAGACGGCGTTTTCATGACCACATTTGGGTTTTGGGACCTAAAACCCCAGATATAGTTTTACGTTAAAAATCATACGCGCTCTTTTCTTTTGCACTCAGTGCCTTGGGGTTGTAGCTTCCACTTTTGTGCTTTGACAGGCACGGCACAAGCCATTTCTATAAACTGCCATTCAATAATTACTGATTTGCAAGTAACCAATTTGCTTCAGTCAGAAAACGGCTTCAAAAAAGTGCTAAAACATGGGTCAAAGCACGTACGAGTGTATCCGTTGTTTCTTTCTTCTAAAGCCTAGTCACGGATGAAGGGGAGATGAAAGGTTCAAGACAAGGATAAGTGAGCCGGTGTTTCGGAACGTTTCGGTGTTGCATCCTTGGGCAACGCAAACAAGAGAAGGCGGTCCAAAGGAAGGACCTTTGTTTCTTCTTAGCCTAACTATACATTACTCACTCGCCCATCGTTCATCATAGTGTTGTTTCATTTTACAAATCAATCAATGAATTCGCCATAAACTATGCTGCAACAAAAAGTATTGAGACCAGACAAAAAAAAAATCTGCTTTCACGCATATGCTTATTCTCTAAGCTCTGGCCACCCTTTCAGCAGCCAGAACAATGGTTTGTTTCTTACCTCCTCTACATATGGTGGGTAATTCTGCAAGTTGTAGCAGGTGAACGTATTCATCATATTCTACGGAGAGTGGAAAGAGACAGGGGTTTATCCTTTCTTCCCCCACCTCGCCCGGTAAAACTGCCGGACTATAAATAAAGTCCATTCATTCGGAACGCCGTACTCCACGCAGTCCGCGCTCCTTTATATATGGTTGGTAATTCTGCAAGTTGTAGCCGACTTCGTTCGGGCATCACCTCTCTTACAGATCCCGAGGATGAGCCCAACCTGCTGGCGGTGCGCAAGCCTTTGCATTTCCATGGGCCCGACGAAGTGCCTCCGGCGTGGCTCAGCCGGCTGCACGACAAGGTGAAGGGGGCAGACGGCTACCTGGTGCTGTGCCCAGAGTACAACCGCTGCATCGCGCCCGCACTGAGCAGCGCCATGGACCAGTTCCCACCGGACTCTTACCGCCACAAGCCGTGCGCCATCATCGCCTACAGCATCGGTAATATTTACAATAACTAGCGCTCGGGCACTACAGCAGGAATTAGAATTGCAATAGTCTCACGCTGTGTTATACCCATAAAGAAGATCATACCTGATCAGTGTTTCTCTTACCTTAACAACAATAACATCAGGGCGGTTGCTTATTCATACATACCACTCGCCTCGCGTTTCAATAGAGGCGAAAGGTGCGATGTCAGTGAATCTTGGAGAGCACCAGATAGTCGAAATTTCTGGTGTCCACCACTTCTTGACTATAATCTATTTTTGGCACGATGTGGTTTTTACCCCAGAAGTCATTATTAACATCAAAGGAATACAGGGTGTTTGAAGACATGTGTCCAATGTGAATTAAAAAATCACAGAAAGGAGGCGTCTGCGTGCGGCATTTTCTTTACTTTCGTAGAAGGCATCTTGACATCTGTGCAAATATTAATTACGGCAGTAATAGAAATTAATGTAATTAACTTTTAAACTAGTGGGAACAGCCGGTCGGGTCAAATGGGCGAATTCACGTCCTTCCTAGGAATAGTCTACAGCCACTTTAATTTTGTGTGTGTGTGTGTGGGGGGGGGGGCTGCTTATCAACGATGCGTGATGAAATGTGGCTAATTTAGCAAGCGAAATCGAAACCAACTCACCAAACAGCGCATCTACCATTGTACACTTAAAAAATTCTCTCAATGACGACACTGTTTCCCTCGCATTGGGAAACAAGGATGACCATGCAGTGAAGTGTCTTGATTGATGGTAGATAACGGCGAGATAAACAATATCGTCACAGAAGGCGTTTTCGAACCGATGGTAGATGCTCTGTTTGGTGCGTCAGTATCGGCTTCACCTGCTAAATTAGCCGGGATTCATCGCCTCGCAGTGATTATATACCAGTGGTCGCCATTTCAAAAATTTTAAGATGGCTGTAGACTATTCGCAGGAAGGACTTGAATTCACCCATTAGAGTCGGTCGACTATTTCCATTATTAAACCTCTCGGCGCAAAAATTTATCGCTCATTATTCCGAATGTGGGTGCCAGCCATTGTTCGAAAAGGCAAGGGTTCTCGTGTCCCACCCTGACGAATGCACCAATCGCTCGAGGCAGCTGCACCAGCAAACCATCTGTAGCTTTATCTGAAAAAGAATTGGCACATTTAAATTCGGCGCGTGAGGGTGCAGTGTGAGCACATGGTTTCTTGCAGTCTTTCTTTTGGTGTTTTAGTTTTGTGCGCTTTTTTTGGTTTTTTTTTGCTGAAGCATGTGATCTTTTTTGTAACATATACAGGGTATCCGAGGTAACTTTAGCCAGAGTTTAAAAGCATACCGGCACATGCAATTACGACACGACCAAATGCATGTTGCTCAACATCGGTTGCAATTAGTCAGACTATTTTTCGTGTTCTCACATATTGTTTAATTAGATCTGTTTAATTAACAATCTTTTGAAGGAACGAAGTTGGATAAAAAGCTTCAGTGAGAAAGTTGTCGATCGGTTTGCAAAACGTCCAAATAGATAGTTTTGAACGTTATAGCTGTGAAGTATTAGTGTTTTTCTGCTAATTACAAAACACACCACGGGACAAACCAGCTCGCACGTCAGTGTGCACGATGATTCTAGCGCTCCTTAACGTTCCGCGTACAAACTACACGCTTCCCTCGCACCGGTTCATGACAGCGATAAGCAGTCACAGCGGTTGTCGTTTTTGAGGCCGACAGCAAAACGTGTTCATCGTCAGCCATCATCATCATTGCGGCCATGCCGAGACAGCACAATGGAGCAAAAGCTATCTATGGTCGTTCGTATGCGGAACGTTAGGGAGCACTAGAATTATTGCGCTCACTGGCGCAAGAGCGTGTTTGTCACGTGGTATTTTTTGTATGTCGCGGGCATTTCTAATTAGCAGAAAAACACTAATACCCAACATACATAAAGTTCAAAACTGCCTAATCAGACGTTTTGCAAACCGATATACAACTTTCTCATTAAAATTTTTAATCCATCTTGATTTCTTGAAAAGTTAGTTATTTAAACAGATATAATTAAATAATATTTGAGAACACAAAAATAGTCTGACCCACTCCAGGCAACGGTGATCAACATGTATCTGTTCGCGTCGTAATTTCGTGTTCCGGCATATTTTAAAACTCTGGCTAAAGTTACCTGGGACACCCTGTATATGTGCGTCGTAGTGGTAATAGATCAGTTGAAAGTCTGCGCTCGTCTTCGTATTTTGTGTTCGTTGTCGGAAATTTTCGCGTTCAGAAGTTTAATGAAAGATTACCAACTAGCCAAATCCCACACTTTACGACTACTTCCACTGGTTAAAATGTTAAGTGTTTTAACTTTTTCAATTACTGCCTAAATTAATATTTGTACACACCTAAAGAGACCTTCTTCTACAGTAAAGGGAACGCCCCAGGTTGCACGCAGATGTCTCGTTTCTTTAATTTCAAATGATATTGGACACATTTCTTGAAACACCCTGTATGCGCCAGAGGTCCCCGCATGCAGCGACAACCATCTGTGATATATGTGGATCGGTCATCCTCACAGATTCAAGAGAAGACAATACACGTACACACGATTACGACTAGTAACAGATATCCAGTGACATAAGACTTGGTTGCATACACCAAACGCAGACTCCCCGCCTGGATGAATAAATAAATAGTGGAGCTGCCTTTCCTCTGAAGCTTAGAGTAGCGACACAACATTTTGAAGGATACGTTTGTGTGACCCATCACGCATCTTCTACTAAATATTGCCCCGTTCCTTTCCTCAAGTTTTTTCATCACCCCGTTACGCTACAACAATACGAGAGGTTTCAGAACTACGAATCCTTGGCCTTCTGATTCACAACAGAACAAAAAACAGTACCACGCTAGACAAGCTACGGAAAATTGGAGAACAGGTAGGGCACATGATCCGCCGAGTGTCAAACAAGCGCGGGGGGCTACGAGGAAGGGACGCGATTTGGCTCGCCAATGCTTTTGTAACTAGCAGGATTCTATATTCAATACCGTACTTACGAATGACTAAACACGAAGAGAACAGAGTCGATGCTATTCTTAGGAAAGTAATTAAGCGCGCACTTGATTTACCTATCAGCACTTCAAACCAGAAACTCTCTGCGTTGGGAGTTTTTAACTCTATACAAGAGCTCCAAGAAGCCCACCTCACAAATCAATATACGCGTCTTACGCAGGCGCCCCCCGGGCGGCGCCTACTGGACCGCCTCTTGATCCGGCACGAATGCGAAATCGAAAACGCGGAGCGTATTACTGAACTTTGGAGAACAAAACTCTGGGTGTCCCCACTTCCCCGCAATATGACCAGGAAGGCGCACCAGGGTAGAAGGCAAGCGCGCGCTGAGGCACTTGAACAACGGCTTGGCTCCCGTAATGGGCTCTATTACGTCGATGTGGCCGGGGCGTCACCTAGGGGATACTACACGGCGGCGGTAATACGTCAAGGAACGCAGGTGTACGGCCTCACTTTCAAAGCCACAAGCTCAAGTAAGGCGGAGGAGGTGGCCATTGCACTGGCAGTATCCCATCCAAACTCAAAACAAATAGTTACAGACTCTCGAAGAGCCTGCGAGAGCTATCTTGCAGGAGAAGTCTCTCCATTGGCTAATAGGCTTTTAAAATTCAGCATCAGGAACCGCGATCCTACCCCAAAACGTCTTATATGGACTCCGGGACATCAGGGTCTACAGGGTAACGAGGCTGCACATGCAGCGGCCCGCGTGCTTACTTCCCGGGAAACTCCCCGTTCCCCTGATAGACCTGAACGTCCCACACCTTTAACACGGTTTCGAGAAATCAAAGAATACTACATTGAGCAACGCCGCTTGTATCCCGCACCAGCGAAGGGACTCTCGAAAACGGAGGAGCGCATCCTGCGGCACCTACAGACAAATACGCTGCTCTGTCCAGCCATACTAAAATATTACGACCCAAAAACAAGTGGGCAGTGCCAGTACTGTGGGGAAGTGGCCAACACTTACCATATGGTCTGGGCCTGCCAAATGAACCCAAAATTAACCCCCTTTCCCAACCCCACCAAAGAGGACTGGGAGACGACCCTACTCAATAGCTCCACACTAAAGGAAAAGCGAACTCTAGTTCAGCGGGCTCGGGTGGCGGCCTCGACTAATGACGTCCCGGACTAGGGATGTCAACCAGCCCGGTGGGAATAAGGACTATCTGGCACAGCCAGCATCAATAAAGGTTTTTTCCTCCTCCTCCTCCGTTACGCTACGTTCAGCGCGAACCACGCCTACGATGTTCGAGAAGCTTCGATGCTTTAGTAGATCGTTTTGTTAATATTACGCCCACTTCGGAAACGTCACAGATTGTTCGGGAACCTACGTCGCCGCTATAGAGATAACGCTATAATATTTGAGGGCAAAAGTATAGGACAATATTCGAGGACATGATTCGCCGCTTGTCAGTTGATCGACGGCCGACGCTCTGTTCGCCGCTATCAGAGCCAGTGTCTTGCTTTTCTTCTGCATGGCCACAATTTCGGCCCGAATAAACAGTTTCTTCGACCTGGAGTCTGCTCCCTTCGTTCACGTCACGACACCGTGACAATATCAAGGGATAATATAGCCTTGAACATGTGTTATCAAACTGGGTACCGCAGATGCCAAGAATTCCGTGAAAGATATCCGGGGGTTCCACGAGCAACCAGCACGAATGCAGCCCGCACCCGTTTTACCTTCATTAGCAACTAGTTTATTTACTTAGGCAAGAACATCAGCACTGCATTTTGCACTCAACGAAGGCATCGCACGCCGAATCCTCTCATTGGGTGTCAGCATGAAAGACTCGTCGTCGCCCCATGCATCGCTATATTTGCTGAGCCGTGGTGGGCGCTGACAATACATGCTCATGAGCGTTCGAACCAGTTCAAACTACATTGGCGGGCAGCTCGTGGCTCATGACGCGTAGGCAACCATGTCGCACAGCAAAGAAATCAATGTGGACTGCAGTGTACC